GTTACAATCATCCGGGTTTAAATAGCGCACAAATTTGGTATATCAAAAAGTGTATATTTTTTTAATGTGATTGTTGGTACATTTTACCAGTTTTTACCATACTTTCAAGACAAAAATTTAAATAGGAAAAATATGCAATATGAAAATAATTGAAGACAAAATATGTTTTACTGAGAAAAAACAAGATTTGGTTTTTAAAAAAACTTTTTCCAAAAGGTACATCTGGAAAAAGGGGGGGTCGTCTTATATTCGGGCCAATACGGTAATTGCAATTTTATATCTCGCAGTTGAAATCTCTCAATTCTGAACTTTTCCTCAGATTTGTGAGTTTATATCTCTCAATTGTGGGTTTGCAGAATTCAGAATTCTGAGTTTACATCTCGCAGTTCTAACTTTTTTTCTCAGAATTGTGAGTTTATATTTTGCAGCTGTGAGTTTGCATCTCGCAATTCTGACTTTTTCTCAAATTTTACGAGTTCATATCTTGCAATTGCAAGTTAACGTCTCACAATTCAGACTTTTTTTCTCAGAATTTTGCATGTGCATGCAGTCAGGCCAGGTGTCTAAAAGTTTGGGGGAAAAAATATAGAATTTGGAAATGTAAACTCAGAATTCTGAGAAAAAAGTGAGAATTATAAAATGTAAACTTTAGAATTCCGAGAAAAAAAAAGTCAGAATTGCGAGATGTAAACTCAGAATTCAGAGAAAAAAGTCTGAATCGTGAGTTCTAAACTCGCAACTTGTGAGGAAAAATAGTCCGAATTGTGAGATAAAAAGTGGTGGAAAATAAGCCTCCATAGATAAATAGTAGAACCAGTGTGTTGCATGGAGTCTGAGCCAGTTCTCTAGGACCGTCCAGCTGCAACCAAAACCGACCCAGCCAAGAGTGAAGGAAAGAGAGTCACTGTGCTTTCAAAACACTTAAAAGATGTTTTGTGTGTCGTCTAGATCAGTGGTTCCCAACCCTGGTCCTTGAGGCACCCCAACACTGCACATTTTGCATATTTCCTTTCTCTGATACACCAATTTCAGGTCTTGGAGTCTCTACTAATGAGCTGATGACCTGAATCAGGTGTGTTCATTTAAGGAGACATGCAAAACGTGCAGTGTTGGGGTGCCTCCAGGACCAGGGTTGGGAACCACTGGTCTAGATAACACGATGCAGTTTTGGTTCATTTATCAGATCAGATGGAGCTAAATCAACTGACCGAACTAGAATGTGTGCATTTTCCTCACATTGTTCCCAACAGCGTGTGTTTCTGTATGATTTGACCAGTTTATGATCAGAAATGGATAACATGGAGCTGTATGAGGAGTTTTTGTGCTCTGAATGAGAGGGTTTATGGGGGGCAGTTGTCTGTGTGTGATGCTAAAAGTAGAACAGCTAAATCACAACCACACGGCAACATGCTGATGTCAGTCAAAGCTGTAATGGCAAACGCACACTCGTACCTGTCAGACTGAGCAGGCCATGAAAACATCTCTGGACACTGAGAGCCGTAGAACTTCAGAAGAATGGAGGTCGGAGGTCACAGTTGAGAGAGATGAATTTTACTGTACTGGAGATGAATAGAGAAAGAGTGCTCTTCATTTTAACGGAAATATCCGGCCCTGAACATCAGCAACAATGAGAGCTCTATAAGATCGAGAGAGGGAGAAACTGGGTTTAAATCGAGTCCTTGTGACCCCGATAAACACGACACAATCTGGTGCCCAAAAGAGACATGTGTCTTCATTGTTAACCAGGAATGCTGCCCCCCCCCGCCTGCACTAACTCACTGTACCCATAAAGCTTGTGTAGAATTCACTGATTTAAAGGGAGAGTGCAACTAAAAATGAAAATTCTCATTGAATTTACTCACCCTCATATTGTTCCAAACCTGCATTATGTGAATCTTTCACCTATAATAATTTTTTTTAAAGTATGATTTTAGTATACATTTTAGTCATTTTGCAGACGCTTTTATCCAAAGCGAGTATAAGTAGTATATATGGATTTTAATGTATTTATTTATTAAAATGTATTTGTGTATATATATTTTTTACATTTATTTATACACTTATAATAAATTTATTTAAAAATAAATTTATATTTATATAAATTAAATTGTATATATATATTTATACATTTATATATTGACTATGTTCAAGAGCCTATTTCACTGTATGGAAAAGAGCTTTAATATTTTAGTATATAATAGATTTAATTTATTAATTTAATTAATATTTTATTTATTTATTGTAAATAATATTTATTTACATGTGTATTTTATAATATAAATAAATTTATATAAATTACATTTTATATATTTATTTGTGATCGACAACCCATCCACTTTCATTGAATGGAAAAGAGCAATGTGAACAGTGCGTCTAACATCATCTTTTGTGTTTAATGAAAGAAAGAACATCATATAGATTTGGAATGACATGAGGGTAAGTAGATGATTTATGAATATCATTTTTGGGTGAACGGTCCCTTTAAATTCTTGAATAGCTTTTGAATTCTTCAAATTTTTTTTTTTTGTACATAACACCGCATTGATAGTTCCCATTACCGTGTTGAGCATGCTTGAGCACTAACTTGTCAAAACATGCTTGAGACACAATAATTTTGATTTCCCTCTCCCTCTCCCTCAGCCTCTGATTTAGTGAGAAAAATGTGAGGCACTGAGAAGCGAAAGATTGCGCTCAGAGTGGGAAATGCTTGAGGAACTGAATGTTTTGTGTTCTTTTGTTATGGGTGGAAAATGGGAAACTGCTAATTCTCAGATCTGCTCACAAATGTGCCCTAAACCCCCCACGCACACACACACACCAAGGTTACACTGGCAATAGAGTACTAACTCACTGCATACTGTGTAGTATACACTCAATTCGGCATACTATGTTTTAAAAATAGTATTCAAAGTTGTTGTTACATGACCTCATGTCAAAAGTAGTACTTGTATAGCTTGTATAGGTGTTTCACATTTTTAACATCTCTCATGGCAGTCTGGTCAAATTATAAGTCAATTAATGCAATTAATGCAAGGCATTGTGAGAGACAGTATTCACCTACATAATGCACAGTTACACATCTATCTTTCTCTCTCTCTCTCTCTCTCTCTCTCTATATATATATATATAAAATACTATACATACTATAACATTATGATTTTTCATTCCCTATAACTTCTGATTTTATACAGCTCGGTGACTGACATGAAGTAAAAACACTGTTGTTCTGTCAGGATCTCCAGAGATGGAGGGTTTAGATACATCACGTTGACATTTCTTTGTGTTGTGGACAATAAAGTCCCATGAGTCTTTATAAAGAGCCACTCAATGCTGCAGGGTGTGATCTTACCTGAAGAACCGGCACACCTGTGCTGATTTAACCTGTGTAAACTCACATGACCTATATTAAGACTAAACTTTTGTGTGGGTTTGATGAGGTCATTCACTATGAATAGTGTTTGGTTTTTCTAAATGATTTTTTATGGAAAGCAAAATTTGAGTTTGATTACTAATAACTGCTGTTTTAACCTGCCATAACCACATTAGAGCTCTAGATGCAAAACTAGGTCAGAGATCCGGGCAATGACTTTAAAACGTGCACCGGCGCCTCCTGCTGGCGAATAATGTCATCACTGATCTATAATAAGAGAATATA